AGTGGTTGAGAGTCCGCCTGCCGATGCAGGGGACGCAGGTTCGTGCCCCGGTCCAGGAAGATCCCACATGCCGCGGAGTGGCTGGGCCCATGAGCCATGGCCACTGAGCCTGTGTGTCCGGAGCCTGTGCTCCGCAACGGGAGAGGCCACAACAGTGAGAGGCCAGCGTACCGCAAAAAAAAAAAAAAGGTGGGTTCTGTTACAATTGAATATACATATGGGAAGAAAAATGAACCTCAATCCTACTTCACTCCATTTATAAAAATTAATTTGATATATATTACAGACCTAAATGATAGAACCATAAAGTTTCTTGAAGGAAATATGAAGAATAGCTTCATGACTTTGAAGTAAGCAATGATTTCTTAGTGCTTCAAAAAGCACAAACTATGAAAGCAAAACAGTGGTTAACTTCATTGTTCTAAGACAAATTGTGTTCCCTTTGAAATTCATATGCTGATGCTTTAACCGCCAGTACCTCAGAATGTGACTGTATTGGGAGATAGGACCTTTAAAGAGGTAACAAGTCAAAATCAGGCTGTTAGGGTGGGTTCTAATCCAATCTGACTGGTGTCCTTATAAGAAGAGAAATTTGGATACATGAAGAGATACCAAGAATGTGTGTGCACAGAGAAAAACTCTGTGAGGACACAGCAAGAAGGCTGCCATCTGCAAGCGAAGCAGAGAGACCTCAGGAGAAACCAAACCTGCTGACCCCTTGATCTTGGACTTCCAGACTCCAGAACTGTGAGAAAGTAAATTTCTGTTGTTTAAACCACTTAGTTTGTGGTATTTTGTTAACCCTAGCAAACTAATACATTCATTGAAATTAAAAATTTCTGCTTATTAAGGAAAATGCATATATAAAAATCACAGAATGGGAAAAATATTTGTAATACAAGTATACATCTGCCTTGTGATCCAGGAATTCTATTTCTAGGTATTTTCCTGAGAAAAATGAAAAGTGTACGTCCATGAAAAGATCTGTAAAAGAATGTTCACAACAGCTCCAAATGGGAAATAACCTAAATGTTTGTGAAGAGAAGACTGGACATAATAAATTGTGATATATTCTTACAGTAGACTAATATTTAGAAATAAAAGAATGAACTACTGATACATATAACAGTATGGGTGAATCTTAAAAACATTGATTTGGATAAATGAAGTCTGATACAAAACAGAATATACTATATGACTCCATTTATGTGAAGTTGCAGAACAGGCAAATTCATCTCTGGGAGAAGAAATAAGAAAGTGGTGACCTCTGCAGGGAGGGATGGACCTTAACTGGAAAGGGGCACAAGATAATTTTGCAAAGGTGATGGACCTATTCTGTATTTTATTTTGGATGGTGGCTACAGGGATATTTACCAAACTCGTGGAGCTAAATACTTTAAGGTCTGCATTTTATGTATGCCTTTTATGTAAATTATACCTTAATTTAAAAATAAAAACGAGTATCTGATGGTCCCTTTTCAGTGAGATTCTCTCTGCAGATCAGAGTGGGCATCCCTATGGCACCAGTCTTGGCAGGTGTCATGGGGGACAAGATGCCTTGGAACTGCTTGTTTGGTGACACTGTGAATACAGTCTGTAGGATGGAAAGTCACGGGCTTCCCAACAAAGTGCATCTTAGCCCCAGGGCCTGCAGGTAACCATTCACTTATTCATGCCTCTCTTTGTCCCTTTTTCTTCCAGAACGTACAGAGTGCCTAGTAGCCACCAGATGGGGGTAGTGGAGGAAGCCTGTGTTTTTCCTTCCATGCCACACTTACAGAGGACATTGTGGCAGACAATATTGTTGAGCCTCTACTATAAGATAGTTTTTGCTCTCAAGGAGCATATGGTGCAGTTCAGGGATTGGCAAATTATAGTCACAGGCCGTATCTCGGCTGTTGCTTGTTTTTGTAAATAAAGTTTTATTGAAACACAGCCAGGATCTTTATTTACATATTATCTACGGCTGCTTTCATGCTACAACAGCAGTTGTGTCTGTATGGGATTAAAGCAGAAGATAATCAAGTGAGACGGTTTTTACTTCTATTTAGGATGGAAGAGACCTTGGCGTGCTGGCAGGCTGAGGGGAGGTGGCAAGTGAAGAGGGAGCTGAAGATAAGGGAAGAGGTGGTTCAGGGCACCAAGCGTTGAGGAGGTCGGAAGGGAGCGTGGGTGGGATGCCCTTGAACAAGACATCCTCTCAGGTTGGGGGAAAGGATGGGTGTGGTCAATGGGATGAGAAGGTGCAGGGTCTCTGCTCTAAGGGTTGTAATTTTGTGGATGGATCACGTCACGAAGTAGGAGGCATGGTCAGCAGCGTGAGGGTGGGGAGGGCAGGTGCTAAATGCGGGAACGTGATGAGCATGGTGAAGGTCTGCAATCTCCACAAAACTGGCCAAGGACAAGGGAAGGTTGATGAGTGCTGAGCCCTGGCTGAGGCAGCTGGCCATGAATCTGAAACGTTGCTGGTCTGCACCGTTCTGTGGTTTGTCTCCAACATTTCTCAGCAGCCAGTAAATACATAAGCAACTCCACGTTTCGTAGTCATCCCGCAGCCCGGTCCCTTTGCATGGTCCCCTCCCTGTACTCCTCTTCTCGCATCACCCTTCCCATTGCAGCTGACTCTCAAGTTGCAGACCTGCGATCTTTGGATATCAGGGGCATTTTTCTTTTCTCTGGGCAAAGCCCTGGAAAATCAAGGTTTTGAAATAATTGAGAGGGGTGAAATTGAAGTGAAAGGGAAAGGGAAAATGACCACATACTTTGTGATCCAGAACTTGAATGCTTCAGAGGATGAGATCATGGGGAGACCTCAAACTCGGCTTGATCCTGAGGGTAAGCAAAAAAGATAAGCCTCGTCATTTGTGCTGAATGTTTGTTGTTTTTTTTCCTCACTAACAACTTCAGCTGTGTTTAGTGAGCTCCTTGGGTTTGAGGGCCAGCGTGGGTACCATCCCTGCCCACGCCCACGCTGCAACCTTCCATTTGGTAACAGCCCCTGAGGATCCCTGCGACCAGTTTGCCCTGAACACTCTTCTGTTGCATCCTGGATGTTAGGATGTCTCTTGAGTTGGCCTGATGGAACCAGCCTAAAGGGTCCCTCATGCGTTTGTTTTCAAGGTTCTTCCCTGTCCAAGGAAGGGGCTTTTCTCTCATCCTCTCCTGCAGCAGGGGGAGGATTTCCCTCGGCTCTTTAGCCTCCAGGGAGGCTCCAGACAGGCTTTCTTCACACACTGGCAGCTTCCACCTTCCTCATTGTCTGTTGGCTTTGAAAACAGGGAAGAAAGACAAAATCTGTGACTCACCTGGCTCCAGTGACGGCAAGAGAATGAGTTTAGGTTAAAACACCATTTGGCTGGAGTCCACCAAAGAGGCCTCCTTCAGCTGTATGGAGGAGTGCATCCCCCCACACGGTCAGGGTTTCTTAACAACCGCCCTAGTTAATGCTGGGAAATGCTGACCTCAAGGGGAGACCCAGTAGCCGAAAGCAAACCTTCCTGAACCTCTGAAGCAAACTGGTGAAGGAAATGGATTCATTCTGACAGAAGCTAATCTTTAGCTGCTCCTGGGGCCTGCAGAGGAAAATCTCTAAATCCAGAGGTTCCTCGTTTACGTAGCTAATTTAGGAAGGATGTCTCTTTGGGACAAATGAATTATAGTTACTGTTTTTAAAAGTGGGGCTATACCAACGAAGAGATAGAAATTTGAAAGCTTTTTAAATGGTTTTGGTGGTGCTGTCGTTCCAATAGCAGCTCACCTTAGCATGCTTGTGAGCTGTGACTGGTTTGGGCCACATTTTATTGCTGGAGACACTTGAGATAGAAAGATCTAAGTTAAAAAGTAGAAATAGCTTTGGCTAATAAGAACCAGGAGCCACCCTCATTAGAGTTTCTGAATTTCTAGGCTCTGGGCGCTTCACCCACCGACATCGCTGGTTCTTCTCACCAGCCGGTCCTCCCCACAGGACAGAGGGCTGTACAGGGTTAACAAACTAGGTGTGCCTAGCTCAAACCTGAGACCACTTCCTCCCAGACCCCCCCCCCCCCCGCGGGTGGCTCTCAAGCTGGAAATTTGAGAGACAGGATTCTAGAACATGGTCTGGGTCGGTAGAATCTAACCCACTTTCAGTTCTGAGCTGGAAACAAAACAAAACAGCAATGAGTAAGGATGTCTTGGTTGAAGATCTCAAGGTGGACCCTGAGTAAGAGGACAGGAGAGGATGTGAAAAGGGCGGAGGGGACAGCACCCAAACAGTGTCTGGTGCAAAATGGGAAAAGGCACCCAGGTAGGTAGGGGGTTGGTAGCCCCCGGTTATGGCTTATAATAGAGGAAAGTCACCCCTTCCTCTGGGCGGATGTCAGCCCCCATCTCTCTCTCTTTATTTATTTTTCATGCTTCTCTTATATTTCCCTCACCTTTTCCCTATCAGCCTAGGATTTCCCACGTTGAGTCTTGGCTGTCAAGCTCTGGGGAAGGGGGTCTCTGCCCCTCCTCTTCCCTCCCCACATCCGCACCGGGGTGCAGCTCCAGCAGAAATAGGAAGGCCGGGATCCCTCAGGGGAGACCCCGTGCTGACACTGCTCCCTCAGTGTCCAAGGCGTCCGAGAATGTGACCCGTGAGCCTCCAGGGGCCACGGGACATTCCCCCACGCGGCTGGATCAGCCTCTCAGAGCCCGGGATGGAGGAGGGGAAACAGAAAGACTGCCGCGCGCGCGGGGTGCTCTTTCCAAGCTGCGTCCTCCCTCAGGTCATCCCTGGGGCACGCCCACGGGCTCTGGGTACCTCGCGGAGGCCTGAAAGGCCGAGCGGTTGACTGGAGGGGAGCCGGGTGTGCCCTGGGGGCGGGGCCTGGGCAATGCTCTTCCGGGTCCTCCGTGCGTGACCTGCGTGGGGAGCGCCCAGGGGCTGCTGCCTTCCGCGGCAGTTAAGAAGGCCCCGCCTGGGCGCCTGCTCGGAGGCCTCCCCCTCGTGCTTTTCTTGCGGAAGCGAGTGCTCAGGGACGTCGAGACAGCGGAACTCTGGCCGTCATGAGGTCCGCAGACAGCCGGCAGCTGCTCCCCAAGAGTGAAACAGCCCGCGGTGAGTAGCCCAGATGGTTAGAGAGCCTCCCAGCGCTGCCGCGGCCTCAGAGGCCCGGTTCCCGGGGAGGGGAAAGGGCTGGAGTGGGGCAGCTCAGGTGGAGTTTGGGGCCCCGGGGCAGGATGCTTCTGTGTTTTGAGGAAGCTTTTTAAAAAATGTTTCCTCAACCCGCCCAGCTCCCCGCCGCAAGTGTCCCAAGTGGGAGTCCCTCATTATGAAAAGGGTCCTCTCTGCCCCCTCCAAAAGAACCTGTGATCCTCAGAAAAACTTCTTAGCCCCCGTGAACCCACAAAATGAAGTTTCTCTGCACGCGGTGCCCTCGGTGGCGCGCTGCCTGTGAGGGAGGGGTGCTGGAGACCTCCCGGTACCGCGTGGTGCTCCCCTAGACACCTCAGAGCATGGACCCCACCACAAAGCCCGGCGCAGGGACCCTCTTTTCCTCGTTGTCCCTGAAGGCGGTGGAAATGAGTGTTTCTCTCAATTCATGCTTACCCTCGACTGCCCTCAGGAGCCCTTCTCAGGACTGACACAGTGGGGTCCCAGCGGAGTGCTGGAGGACCAGGGACGGGCTTGCAGAACGAACCACTGTAGCAGCAGGCCCGCCCCCCTCTCCTTTCTGGCTTCGTGCTGCCACTGCCTCCTTCTCCCTTTCTGGAAACCCCATTTAGGGTTCGGTGATCCCGGTGGAGTTAAGCTTTTGAGGCAAAGCAGCAGTGTGTGTCTGTTACAGAGGGTCGCGTCCCAGGCATCTTTCAAGAACCATCCCTGGTCACTGAGACAATTTCATAAGACAAATGAGACAATCCACGTAAAGAGTTAGAACAGCTTAATAATCCTTGCAAAGAGGTAGCTATCGTTTTTTTAATAGATGTCTCTTAGGTTGAGTGTTGCTTGAGCCCTTGGCGTTGAGCACTGCCCCAGTGCCTGTACACTTCCCTCTAGTTTGATCCCAGAACATGAGGTTGAGGGAATGACCAGCACCCTTCTGTTCAATTCCAGTGAAAGGAGACAGAGCAAAACTTCCCTTGCTCTGATCTGGGGGCAGGTAGAATCTTGGATTCTGGAGCATGAGAAGCTCAAAGCAGACTTCTTGCCATCACCCAGAGGCGTTTTCCTCCCCTCGCTGCTCCCTACCTGCTTGCAGTTAACATGTTCCTGACAGTGTTCACGCCTTGAACAGTTGTCTAATGCTATTACAGTTTGGAATGTAACATTCATAGATTCATTCATTCAGTAATGTTTCTTGATGCTCCAGGAATGCAGAGAGTGGAGGCCAGGCATTATGTGGGATCTGTGATGTTCCTCGGACTAAACACATGAGGTCCCTGCCTTCACACAGCTTGGGTTTTAGTAGAGGGAGACAGCCAACATGTAACAGAATAAATGAGATCATTTCAGGTAGTGATAAGCGTTAAGAAGGAAATAAAACTGAGTAATGGAGAAGAGGGCCAAGAAGGTTTCGTGGAGGGAGCAGCATTCTTGGAGGGTAAGAGCCACTCGGCTCTCCAGGTGCGGGCTTCCGGGCGGCACCATGCTCTAAGGCAGACACAAGCTTGGCAAGTTCACAGGGTAGTAAGAGGGCCAGTGTGTCTAGAGAGGGATGGGAGGGGAAGGGAACTGGAGGGGACGAAGTCAGGGAGGTGGGCAGAGCCGTGGAAAGCCTGGCCTTGCGCTTCCCTATCTACACACAAGAAGTGTGAGCATGAAGTACGGGACAAACTAGGAGCTGCTGGGTCTCCATGGGGACACCCAAGGGGAGAAGACCTCTGCCATCGGTATTCCTCAATGGCTGCTCCATAAACAGCTCAGAGGGGGAGCCCTAAGAACGCCTGCTCCAGGAAGGCGAAGAGATTCATTTTTCAAACTTCTGCTGCGTAAGGGGGTGCCTCCATGGGAGAAACCAACAGGGCTGGGCAGGGCTGGCCTCTTGCTTAGAGGTGAGAGACAAATTTCTCATCTGGGACCCTGATGTAGTACCTCTTTTAACTGCTGCTTCCCTGGACAAAAACTAAACCCAACAGCAAGAGAAGGGGAACCTGAGGCCACCTCGGTTTGGCGGGTGGGGGGAACTGATATTGGTTGTCCTGGGCATTTTACCCACATGATCGTATTTGATGCAAGTCCTGTGCTACACCAGTCCCATGCCTAGTCCCATAAGAGAGGCAGGAAACTTGAAGTTCAGAAAGGTGGTATAATTTGTACACGGTCGCACAAGCAGCAAGTGGAGGAAGCAAGACGCTCCTCAGGCTGTCTGTCTGCGGCAGCCCACATCCATGGGAGCCGTCCTTCAGGAAGAGACCAGGTCAATTTCAGAGTTTCCCCAGGCATAGGCAGCTGCACTTGGACTTCTTGGCTGCAGGATGGCCCAGCCATGTTTGCGTCAGATCCTCTGAGCCCCACCTGAACAGGTTTCTGATTGTTGGGTGTGATTAGCGGAGTTGTGAACAAGGAATAGCTCACGCGCTGGGGCTGAATGGGAAACCGTGTCTCATGAGCTGGAGGCCTGGGGAAATGAGGACAAAGCCAGCTGGGCCGTGGGCCTCAGGTGAGCCCCCCAGACCCAGACCCGCTGAATCAGGAAGTGCTTTTAATGGCTTCTGCAGGTGCTCTGAGTTCCAGTTCACCAGGCTTCTTCTTATCACTGATTCTGCCTTGAGGGATTCGTGTCACCTGCCCCCAGGGCCTGCCTTTTCCTTTTCATCCTGGTTGAGGTCCCAGTTCTCCTGGGTTTCTAGCTACATCTGATAACGTCCTGCTTAGCTCTGAGGTAGGTGAGGGCTGCCCCAACTCTCACCTCCAGTCCTGGGCCCCTCTGTGGGCGTCATCCTGGGAAAGGGTTCCCACCAGGCACCACCAGTCTGGCAGGACTCCCTCCGAAGGTAAGGCTGTTGGGTCTCGATACCTCAGAGACCAGCCTGTTTCCCAACGTCAGGACGCCAGTCGAGGCTCTCCTCACCGATCAACCTCACCAGGCTGTCACCTGCTTGCCAGGCCTGCGACTGCTCCGCAGGGGCACGCATTTCCCTCTGACTGGGCTCCAGCGCCGTGCCTCCCTCTCCCTGGGAGAACCCTGGCTCCTGAAGACTCCCCCGGGGCCTGGGCAGTCCGTGGAGCTGCAGGGGCGAGGCGCGACCCACAGAGCCGTCTATGAGGGCAGCTGAGACGGACCGCCCTCCTCAGCCCTCTCTGCCGGTCGGCCGGGAAGCCCAGCCAGCGCCCGCGGGGCGGCAGGAACCTCTCCAGCCGGACCCAGGCCTGCAGGCTCCACCCAGGACCTCATTTGCACTTCAATAACACGCTTTTCTTTCACTCCGCTCTGTATCTGGGTGTTAGATGTGTCAGTGGAGAGACTCCCCAGAGCAATTAAACGGGAGTATTGAGCCGGAGAGAAATCATGTGTTTGACTCAGATATTTAAGCAACCACCTTTCAGTATTGACTAAAAAATTGGCCTTCCAGCTGTCCCTGCTGGCAGGCTCTTCTGGCATCTCTTCAGACCCCTGTTAATGTGTTTTTCAAATTTCAACTTGCTTCAACTTGTCTCCAAGCTGATTCCCCCAACGATTATCATAATGGATTCCAGACTGACCCGCGTACGGCGCTAAGGCAGGCAGCCCGGGCTCCTCCCTGGAGGCAACTCCTCCCCATAAATCACAGGCCGTGGGTGTCCACTTGCTGGGTTCACGGCAGGTTAAATCAGCTCGGAGGAGTTCTTACAACAATTCCTAATCGTTCTGGAGAACTTTAGTGCTGAGGGTCTCTCTCCTGACTGAGTTTAAGCAGCATGCCTGCTGGGGAACTTGCTGATTCCCTTCGTATTTTACTCTTCCCAACAGGAAGAACTTTCCCACCCCCATGGGTAATTCTTGGATGGGTTTGTGGTCACTTAATTGCCAGGGTCCTTGCCCCTGGCTTTACAGAGTCTTGACGATACAAGTGCCTTTCCCAGATGTGTCCAACGAGCTGAGATCCAGCTGGTTTGGAGCCCGGCTGCGGAACCTGGGCCCTCGTTCTCGGCTCCAAAGCTTTTCAGCAGCTTTTCTGAGGCCTTCATAAGCATGGCTGTCAAACTTTCCCAGTCTCTTCTACTTGGGGCTGATGAATGGCATAGGCATTTTTAACCTCAGGCTTTCTAGAAGTTGACCTGTTAACCCAGCAACGCTCCATAGAAGGAAGATCCTGGGAGGTGTAAATGAACTCTTTACAAATCAGCAGGTAAATACTGGAGGAACATGCGACTTTTGGGTAAAGTCACTGGTTGTCAGCTTTGGTATCATTGGCCGGGATGTGGCATCAGAGCCGTGGGTGGGAGGGCATCAGAATCACCTGTGGTTGACAGTACAGGTGGCGGGGCCTGTGCAGAGAGTGACTCAGCAGGTCCAGAAAAGGGTTTGTTCCGCTCTGGTTGGTCAGCCACCTCCACGGGGCAGTCGGATGAGCTGCTGGGCTCAGGAACCGTTGTCATAGTGGAAAGAGCATTGGCCCTTAATCAGAATTCCTGGGCCTGGATCCAGGTCCTGATATCCAGTCACCAGCTGTGTCACTTGGGGCGAGCCTCAGCCTCTTCGCTTCATTTTTCTCATCCTGAAGGCACAGGTGATAGAGTGCCTGCTTTACGAGGGAGGTGGCTTTGAGGAACATATGAGATACTGTGTGTCATCCGAAAGCTGTAAAGTGCTGAAGACAGGTCAGGTATGCCGACTGCTTAATCACTTAGGGACCCTATTGTTGACAATTCATTCACTTAACAAATATGTGAGTCTTGGCACAAAACTCTAAGTGGTACTACAGGGGTTAAAAATATAATACTGGTTTGCTGCACACAGGGAGCTTTAGGTCAGCAGGCAGAAGGAGAGCCACAGGCAAGGTGAGCGCAGGGTGTTACAGGGCTGACAGCGAGCACAGGTGAGGCTGGAGACACACCGAGGACTTGAAAGACTCTTAGAGGACGTGCAGGTGACAGCAGGAATGGGCATGGCAAGGATGTGGCCTCTGCTCTGGTCCCTGGAGAATGCAGGGGCTTCTGGAAGCTGGAGATGTAGTTCCTCCAGGGCATGGCCTCTTTTGCCCATGGACAGAAATAGGAAGCAAGGGGGTGGGTGATCCTAGAATGGCAACCCCTCCCCCAAGTGTGGAGACTCCATTGAACCCTTTTCATCACTAGGATAAAATTCTCTCACTGATGGTGTCTCCCTCCACAAATATTTCTAGCATCCATGGCTCCTTTCTCTGTTCACACCCATGAACACTATGGTGTGGTCAGCCTGCCCTCCCCCCAGAGCAGGTCGATTTGTTGGAAAATTAACCCCGATGGAACCAAGCAGGAGGAGATAAGGTGCTTCTCACATGTGGAGACGCCGCAGAATAAAGGCCAGAGCAGGGCAGGGTGGGAGTTACGGGTGGGGTGGGACGGAAAGGCCAGCAACCGTCCCTGTCTGGGAAGGACTGGGACGGGGTACTGGGGAGACCCGACAGAGTCTGACTTCAGGCTCCAGCCAAGCCCCCTCCCCAGTGGGGGAGGATCAGTACTGAAACCAAGTTGTGATTTCCCATATCTGATTCTATCTAGGAGGTTAGAAACAGATGCAGAAATGCAGATAAGGAATTATTTTAATTGCAAAAGTAAGAATCCCTTCTTGTAACCCCAAATCCTATCATATCCTTTATGACCACAGAGCCCTGCCTGTAACGTCCAGGCGATGACCCAAATCCCATGTATATTCCGCAAGACAACAGCGTTCTCCCAGACTCCACCTTGCTATCACTTCTGCACTGCTCCCCCCCCCCCCCCCCCCCCCCCCCCCGGCCAAGTTCGCATTTGACAACATAGCATGTGTGATGGCTGTTTTCCAAACGGGAAGATTTCTTCTGCTACCACTCTTTTCATTTAATCCATTCTTAATCTACATTGAAATGGGTTTCTGTGCTGCTTTTAATTATTTATTGGGCTGTGTTAGTTTGCTCAACTAAGGATTGTTTATTCATTTACGTTATAGAAGGAATTATTATTTTTTATAACCAGAAAGTGCAGATAAACCGAAGGAGGAGGAAGAAAACAAAAGCACCTGTTAATTCCATCACCCAGAGAGACTGTTGTTAAAATTTTGGTGCCCATCCTCCCAGACTTGTGTGTGAGGGTATGTGTGTACACGTGTACTTTTTGTTACAGAATTGGGATTATCACATATACCGTTTGGTAAATTAGCAGGTGGTGCATTTCTTTCCTTTAAACATTTAAAACATTTCAAAACACATTTCGAGTTTTATAAAAAAAAAAATAATGTGCTTGAAATGGTACACTTATTTCCCATGGTGCTACACACCAAAAGCCACATTTACTTTGTATTGAATGAAACCCCAATTATCTTGTACTTCTGCACATTTGTATCCATTTCTGATGACCCTGACATTCTGAAGTTGCCTCTGAATTTTCCAAGAAGGACTAACCGAGTTCAATTTAGCTTTGGTATTTAGATTATTCCTGGTGTCTAGATATTAGTAATCCATGGAAGATGTACATTGTAATTCTCAATTAGTCAGAAAACGTGATTAGCCAGAATGCTGCATTTCCTAACTCTGCCCGATAATGAGCATTAAACTGTAGCAAAGTGATGCTCCTAATAGGCAGTCCTCAGGGGCTGTGAGGCAGTGGTCTCATGGGAGCAAAAGACGATGAATGAGAATTTATCTCAAGTAAACAAGGAAATTCTTCCACCATCTGGATTGTGGAATTGCACTGGGGTAAAATGTCAAATATATATGTGTAGAAATTCCAAGAGAGTCTTGCAGTTCCATGTTGACCAAGTCTCGTTTGAATTGTCAGGCAGCATGAACTCAAAATTTGGCCTGTCCAGCTTTCAGTAGGCCATCTCAGTTCTTTCCCCAACACAGTCCTAGCTGGTCGTCTTTCTCTTCCTGTTAATCAGGGGATTTTTTCTCAAGGAGAGAAAGGGGAGAGTTTCATAGGAGTGAAATGGGAGTAGATATGGAGGAGGACCACAGTTAGGACACAAGTGAGAAAATGAGACACGGCCAGGTTAGAAGAGAGAAAATTGTGCTGTGGATGCACGAGAACAGAATCAGCAGTGAAAAGCTAAGTTGAAAATTTTTTGAGAAGAGAAATTGGAAGAAAAACATGAAAAGGTGTTGCATACAGGGGAGACTGAGAGATTTGTGAAATATTATTTCCTAGTGTTGAGTTTACGTCCAGAATTTTTTGTGAGAGGTTAAACCAGAAAATAGAATATTCATCCTGGTTACAAAGAAATCTTGGTGCCGTCTGGAAGCAGGAGCACACCAGAAACAGAGCCTGACTGTCGATAGGTAAAGAGACAGTTTTCTTTGCTATATTCCCTCTTTTTATTTTTATTTTTTTTAAAAGCATCTCCAGCTCCTTCTTGTTCAGTTTTTTATTTTTGTTAGGGTAACCCCTACTTGGGGTACAAAGACAAACCAAATAAGTTCTGTGATCACAGTACTACTTTGTGGAGATTTTCTCTCATAGGTTCTTATAACATTTCTGTGAGTTGAGTAGGAGACGGATGTATGGTCTAGTATCCTGTTACATCTGGAGGAGCTGAGGCACAGGGAGACACTAGATGGGGAGGCTGAATCCTTTTCTGATGCTGATGGGCAAACTGGAGGCAGTACTACTTTTTCTCAGTAGAAAAAAACCCTACATTCCCGTCTGTAACCAGTTCCTTTTTCCTTTGTTTGTGATGGTGCCAAAACAAAACTGAACTCAGACTGTTCAAACATACTGTCCTTATCATTTATCCTGAATGTTTCCATTTTTGAAAAATTCAATTCCTTTTAAAATTATAATAGGGCTTACATCTCAAAGAAAAACAATACTGCAATGAACTCTGTAATTCAAAGTGAAAGGGATAAAGGGTATTTGGAAAAAGACTAGTAGTGAATTAGCAAAAAAACAAAACCAAAATCCCACCCCATATGGGAATAATCTATTTCCAAAGAGCATAAAATACTGCTGAGCAGGAGTCAGTCTTTTGCATGTGTGTGGAGTGGGGTGGGATGTGCCATGATGCGCAAATGAACCTGTAGTTAATGACAACTCCACTTAGCCAGCTCCTGTCTAAACCCATACCTTATACAAATGCCGCATCTGAGGGGCTTATGAACCTTGTCAGTTTAGCCCCAACTTCTGCACGAGCAAAATACTCCATATGAATCATCACCCAGAGTTGCCCCAGTGACATGGTTCTAGATCCGCCAAATTCTCACCTCATCCTGGGCCTGAGCCTGGGAGAGACTGGGGAAAGGTCCAGTAGCCCACGTTTTTCCACATGTGTCATCAATTATGTTCATTAATGACCAGTCCATTAGCAAATTGAACTTGCCTGCATCTGATTGTTTTGTGCTAAAAATTACCCATTGCTTTTAGGATCTTAAAACAGAGGTAATCACTGATCCAGGTTCAGGAGGAAGGGAGGTGCTAACAGCCCCTAATGGCAAAGGAAGTCATTCATTTGTTTGGGGACAGAAGGCTGGAGACGAAGCCCCGCCTGCATTTCCTGATTTTTAGAACTCTGGAGCTTCAAATCAAATATGGGAGTCTCTCCGAACTTGAGCGTCTCTGGAACAATGATTAGTGTAAAAAAAAAAAAACAGAGAGAGAGAAATGGGAATATAGATTACTTTAAAATCTTCGATGCTGACCTCTCCAAATGAAAGTGTAGGGTGAGCAGGAGATGTCTCTCTACCCAGCCTCCTTGTTTCCATTCCTTCCGAGTCCCGCTACCTCCCTCCTCGTTGTGGCTCACAGACCCAGGTTCTTTTTCGGTGCCTCCCCCATGGGCTCCTTCCCATACTTAGAAATAAGAATTGGCATCTTTGAGTTTGTGCTGTGTGTGGGGCATTGTGTACTCACTTTGTAGAAGGCATCTAATTTAATTATCACAGCAACCCTGGGAGGAGGGTATAATCGTTATTTCCCCACTTTTCAGATGAGGACAAACGAGGCCCAGAGAGGTTAGTGATGAACCATGGCAGCACTGGGTCTGAACCCTGTGTGTATGGATGCTCAGACCTCGTAGACAGTCACAGGGCAGCAGGTATGGAGGCTCAGTGCTGTCATGTGAGTTAGGCACGAGTAAAGATTTGGTAAGTGACCAACAAGATGACACAGCCTCAGACAAAAGATGTAACAAGGCAGACAGGTCTGAATGGACCTTTGTGGCCTCAGCTGTGAAGATGTTCTCTTGCTCAGGAGGTCGCAAAGTAAGCCCATGGTGTCCACTCTGTTCCCTGGGGCTGGGCTCAGACAGAACCCCTCACCCGCGACCAGTCTGAGGCCTGACTGTTCGGCTCACCCCTCTGTCTTGTTTCAGCTTCTGACCAGTTGGCACCCGGAGGGAGTCCAGTGGAGGAACAGGAATCCGTGGAGGCAGCTGACGGACAGTGGTCTTCAGCTCAAAGGTACATCGCTTTCCTAAAGACACGCTGCTGTCTGGTTTCTGTGCTTTGTTGTGACAGGGAAACACGAACCCCTCGGGTTAATTTTTCCCCTGCTCAGTTTAATGGCAGCAAAGAAAAGTAACTTCATTTCTCAGCTCAAGACTTCTTAAGCTGCATCTCTTCCTCATTGTCCCTTTGAGAATAAAGGTCTAGAAATGAAACACAATCCTGACAAGTTTGGAAAATGTGCTTTCACAGTCTCAGTTCAAAGCCAACCCCGATACTTGGAGACGTTGGGTCTTGTTTGTTCTCGTGGATGAGAAGTTGGGCTGTAGGGCCTCCTTCTGTTTTCTTCTAACGGGAATGAACGGCTCTCCTGCTCTCATCACTGTGGTTCCACTGAGTCTTTGCCTTGGAGCAGAAGCCCCAGTGGCTGACTTCGGAGGACACCCTGACCTCAGAGCTGGCCATGGGCAATGTCTTATTCTAAATGATGATGGGAGAGAGGAGGAAGAAAGAGCCCCAGACCCCACAGTTTATAAATCGCCCCAGAGCACAGCCGGGATGTGAAAGGCACTCAGCCAGGGATTGTGAAAGGAAATCATTTTCATTCCCAGCCCTGGGAATTATGTGAAGCGATAGAACAAAAGCCGCATTCCCCAGAGATTTTCTGAAAGTAAAATGGAGGAGAAAATGTGAAAATCGCCGGAAGGGCAGAGTTAGGAAAGATTGGGAAATTAGGCAGAGTGCCGCCAGCCACCAGGTCCCTTGGCCGGCTGCCTTCAGACTCAGAAGGCCCCTCTTCTGCTTCTTCCTGCGGCATGGGGACATCTGGGCAGTGGCGAGTGGCGAGTGCTGGAAATGCTCTCAGAGGCCTGGGGTCAGGGGCGAGGGGCGGCAGAGAAGCGGTCTGGTGGTCTAGCATCTGCACTTGGTGATGGTGAAAAAATAAGTATTTTTTTAGCCTATGTAAGAAGGAAAATCCGAAGGGCACACGTAATTTTGTGATTCATTCTTGCTGGGACCTTACTTGTCCCAAGAGGCGTTAACTGTCTTCAGCAGTTCCTAGGAGGGCAGATTTGACTGTCGGCTGCCAATCTCAGGAGGAGGAGGGGAAGGGAAGGCGGAAAGAGCTGAATTCTTTGCTCTGCTGTCCTTCCAGACAACAACCGTGTCTTGTGTCTAGAAATAGGTGGTGTGGCCCATAGTTCAGAAGGGCCAGAACAAGCCAGGATTAGACTGAATGCAATCTCCAGAGATGTGGGTTCTTGGCCAGCCTCTGTTGCTTGATGTCTTGGTATCTCAATTTTACCACCTGTAAAATGGGGTTAGTGACAGCTGCGCCACCCATTTCACTGCCTCACAGTGAAATACAAGAGCACAAAGATGCCCTTGATATTTACAACAATAGTAACTACTAACATTTATAGATAACCAAATTCTACGCACTGGCCTTGCATGTATGTGACACGTTACTTCTGCTCTTGGCAACAACCCCATGATAAGACAATGTTTCCAGTCCCTAACTGACAGATGAGGAAACAAACTCAGGGAGATTTAGTAGCCCAAGATCACACCCCTGGCGCTGGCAAATAGCCTAAGCAGAAGACGTGCTGTTCAACATTACGACAACATCAAAAAAGTCAGGGCAGCCTGGACGTGTGGACCCTGGAGCCAGGTAGAGCCCGGTTTGAATCCTGGCTCTACCATTTGGCAGCTGTGTGTGTTGGGGTAAGTTGCTTATCATCTCTGTGTCTGAATGTTCCTTCTGTAAAATGGGGATAATCAGAGGACCTGCCTCGTAGGGGTGTCATGAGGACTGTGTGACATATACACAAAGCCCTTAGAAGACTTACGGACGCTTAGTAATCCCTCTGTGAATGTGATTTTTTTTAATGCTCCAGTTAAGTGGTCTTACTGCTAAAGTGGGGCTAAGGAAAGATGATCCAGCTCGCGATTCCTGTTACTTTCCCTGTATGCTTTCTTTTCAAAATCCTTTAGCTCAGCGGTGAGGGAGCAAAGCCAACCCAGACAGAACTAGGAACAGTTAGGTGGTAGCACTGCCTGAGAGATGAAGAGCAAAACGGTTGCCTGGTGTAGTAGTGGCTTTTTGTTTTGTTTTTGGAAGGAGAAAAGCAGGAGCCTGTGGCCCCAGCTCCCAGCTGGCAGCTTCCTTGGCCCTGATAGAATATGCCAGTTTAATGCTCAGCTCTACCGAAGATGCCAGAAATGGCGAGGCAGGTGCCCCAGCCCTGGTTGAAAATGGAGAGGATTTTGTTCCATGTTTATTAGGATCAAAATAATCTTTTCCAGCTGTAATTGAATGACTACATCGGGCATTTGGCATCCCCCTGGAGCCTACTATTTATTCTTTGGAGTAAACACTGGTGGAGACAAACTTCAGGTGCCCAGGGAGACCTGGCCAGGCCGACAACGTGCTCCGTGAGCCCCTGGCACTCCCGAGGGAGCATTCGTTCTGGGACGCACCTCTCTGGGTGGGAGCCCTTGGGAGCCTCAGTGCCAAGCTGGGGTGTGTACACACTCACTCAGAGGGCGGATTAGCTCATGGTACTCCTGCACACTGCCGGCCTCCACCAGTGCTGTGCGCTGACACCAACATCTGGTGGTCCGCCCCAGGTGCATCAGTCCAAGGTCTGGCTGTCACTCCAGATCACAGACTTTTGTTTATGAGCAGTGAATGCTCTGCTCAGCAGGGAAGGCAGAGTGACGCTGGGATGAGCCTCCTCTCAGCCTTAGGTCCTCGGAGGTCCCCTCCCACACTTACAACCTGTTAGGTTCGTTTTACCCAGGAACTCTGTCTGGCTCCAGTGCCTTCCCCAGGGCACAGGCCAGGGGCACAGAAGACTGGGATCCAAGCAGATGGCTGGTGCGGCTTCCGACCTGGTCCAGCAGGCCAAGGACTATTACAAACACCCTGGCCTCCAGCCCACGGAGAGAGGTGGATATTTTCATTAGTAAGAATTTGAAAACACTATCCGCCGTCCTTCCCCAAGGGAGCGCAGAGCTTAATCCCATGGCTTCTTAACCCACCTCCAAGCCTCTTATACACGAAGCCTCTGTGGACAAGTTGGTGGACATGGGCTGAGTCCCTCCCACCTCCCGGACCTCCCTCGGCATGGCTCTCCCCTTCGTGGGCATCTGAGCCTGGCTGTCCGATGCCTTGCCTTGCCTGGCCAGGGGCTTGCGTCTCACCCTCCTTTGGGCTCTGACCAGCTTATTCTTAATGACAACCTGACTTTCCCCGCCCTTTCTTTTTCACCCCTTTTTCTTTTCCAACTTTCCTTCAGCTCAAGTTGTGTGTGAGAGAAAGAAGGAGAATCATGTGCCTGGCTGAGGCATGAGATCATTTTTCTCCCCTCTTAGCATGCTCGCTGTCTGCTGGTCGGGGTTACTGGAAGAAAGCGGGAAAGCTCCGTTTCCACAGAGAGCCATCTGGCTCCACCAGACTCAACGCTGATGCTAATCTGTTGGTTTCTTTTTCTTTAGTCTTTTTCTTTCTTTCTTTTCTTTTTTTTTTTTTGTTCCCATGGAACACTTCATCTGCAGCTGTAAACTCAGACCTGGTCCATCTGAAGGCAAGCATTCATCTGGTGCACATTTATTATGGCATCAGGCACCCCTCCGCCCCCATCCCCTTGTAGGTGTCAGGACATCATTGTGATCATTGGTGGGTCTATGTAGTTGTAATGTCAGGGCTGTACTTTCAAATGGAAATTAGGCAATTATGTTCCACATGGAGAAATCTGACAGATGCAGAGGTTTTACACCACTGGCTGTGTCACGGGGACAAAGGCAGCCAGCGCTCCCAGGGGAGGGTTAAATAAATAGAATATGTTTCAAGAGCACAGAGAAATCCAGGAATAATTAACTGCATGATGAGAGTTCATAGATCCTGTGGCTGTTTAACTTCAAAACGTGATAATGATATGTCAACGAACTGCTTAACTCATCCTTGTAAAGGTGGCATCAGAAAACCTGTCACAGTGTACAATTCAAACAGAGGTGGGCGCTGCTCTGCGCATCTGTTTTCCGGTTTCCAAATGCGAAGCCTCAGAGTATTTTCTCTTGTTTCACTTCCCCCGCATGGAGGGCTCCAGTTGGCTGAAGGAGAAGAGGGGCTGGTCATAGCCTGGTGTCTACCTGATAGAGCAGTTTCCAGTCAACAGGCAGTGTTAGGTACATAGGTGCTCATGTGGGAAACTATGGTGGTGATACTGTCGTGGGTGCTATCGGTCCAGTACTTGTTATAGGCCAGGCATCAGCCACGTGCTGTAGTCCTGCAAGTGTGAGGTAAGTGCCATGATTATCCACATTTTATAGACGGGGAAACAGGTGCAGAGGTAAGAACTGGGCCCTGCCCAACTCTGGTCTTAGCTCTTGGCCACCAGGTTGCACCCTCCTAATGTTAAACCGATACATACTAGCTCGTGCACCCTTATGAAGCACCTACGTCAGATGCATATAGTTGGAGTGAACTAAACAGGAGAGATGTAAAAAAACGTTAAAACTGAATTTTTCACCTAAAATATCCAGCTGTTTAAACAAATGGTTAGTTTGGAGCCTGAAACATGCAGTAAGGTTCACTCAGTGTGTCCCAAACTGGATTGGAATGAACCCATATTACCAAAAAGTAAAGTGCCCTCAAATCCTGGCCATTGCTCTTTTCTGTCCTGGAGGAGAAAACTCAGAGTAGGCTTTGGTCCGTGGCTGTGGACTTTGCAGCCCCTGAATTTTCCTCCGATGTCATGGCCTTGGATTAGGCTAGGATGATGCCAATTGGAACTGAGAAAACGGAAAGACATCTTTTATATAAGACACTTTTTAAACTAAGCATATGATAAAATAAATAAAATAGATTTATGTAGGAATCTCTAATGCTTTCTCAGATCAACAAATGCCAGTGAGGCCCCACTGTAGAGAGAATACATTAATCAAACAAAGCAGGGGGTGTCAGGAACCGTCTACTAATTTGCCAGCGACTAATAAACACCAGTCTGAAC